TCTTCCTCGATTCCACAGAAAAGCTATCGCCGTCAACTGGCGGCCCTGCAACGAGAGCCGAACAGGTCATGGAAGTTGCCACACCCGACTCACGAGGCTGCTGCTGCGACATAAGAACGTACAGTAAGGAGTATATAGTGATCGCTGGTAATGAAGAAACAGTAGCGGGAATGGGAGTGATTACGTAAGCACGACCACGAATTCTACTGATTGCAATGTGTCTAAGACAAGCGGATGCACGAATACAAGTACAGGCAACGTAGTGTGGCAACAGACTTACTTCGAACGCAACAGCAACTCAAACGGCGAAACACAAAGATAAAGGTGGGCGGAGAAGAAACACTAGTAACCCGGAAAGCCATTTTCGTCGTGCCATCCCGTCCCTGGCCAGCCAGAAAGAGCGTGGTGGACGTTAGCGCTTATGACTCTCACGGAGCGCCCATGGAACGGGATGGACTGGAAAATGGCGTTTGTTGAAGTTGAAGGTTTGGCCATCGTGGGGAAGTGCGACTTTACATTTGTGGGCTTCCTCGAAACTATGAGTGCCATCCTTGACTGCTCCCTTGCTTCTGTACTTAGTTCTCGGGCTCGAAATACTGGCCGTGGCGATATTCGTTCTTTCCAGTTCAATCCAAACGCAAACGGTAATTCAATCAGCAGAACACGCTAAGTGATGAACCCTTGAGGATAGCACTAGCGCGTACGAGTAAGAATTGAGCAGAACAGACCGCGCAGCTAGACTTACCGGACAGAGTCCACCTTGTGTTCTTTTGCTTTCCCCTTGTCATTTTCATTTGGCAGCGAGCACTCCGTATTAACATCTTTCGCCGTGCCAAAGACAGTCACTCTTCAAAGGGGTTGCGTAGGGCCCACAATTTGAATTGCGCTCCAATTCAACTGGAAAGAACGAATATCGCCACGTCCAGTATTTCGAGCTCGAGAACTAAGTACAAAAGCAAGGGAGCAGTCAAGGAACGCGCTGCGTCCTTACATTTGTGAGCATGGTTTCTTTTTCTCGGGACCATGACTTCCTACGATGGCCACACCTTCAACAAACGCCATTTTGAGTCCATCCCGTTCTATGGGTGCTCCATGAGTCATAAGCGCTTACGTCCACCACAGATTTGAAGTCTTTTTGGCTGGCCAGGGATGGGACCCTAAGTTATCGAGCAATAGAGGACCCCGTCGTTCTTTGCATTCAATTCGGGACTGAAAATTTTACAAGACCCCCTAGAGTAGCGGGAATTTACAGGTATAAAACGGATTGCACCCCCTGCTCACGCCACGCGTTGAAGGGGGCTTGGATTCCATGAATCCCTCTGTGACTTACCGAAGTGCAGCATCCTCTAATGGTCAGAGTATTCAAGGGACTTGGGTTTTGCAATGCAATCGCAACGTGCTGGGCGAATTTGCCGGAGCGGGTACTCTGGTCATCATGTAGAGGATGTAAGCCACAGAGGAGGGATTCATGGAACCCAAATAGTCCTCGGCTTGAGCATGAGCAATGAGACGAGCAACGATGGTAGAAAGCTCAGAATGAGGGGCAAGTCGCAGGAGATTAAATATCACCACTGAATGGCGCGTGAAAATGAGCGCAAAAGTTACGAGCGGAGGAGGCTGAAAATCCACCACGGTGCAGGTAGCGAAAACACGCGGCGAGCTGGTCCGCAGCTAGCAGAACATGCAACTCCTCAGTACTTCACCTTGATCGTTATCGCTTTCGCAGAGATCCAGCTGCACACGGTCATACTGCTGCTGGGGCACAGGGCCTGTTTTTCTGGGATGTAATTTGTTGTATAGTGCAGTACGGAGAACGTCTTCCTATCTATGGGATGAGAAGAGGAAGACGGCCATAGGCTGAATGTTGCAACGGCCGTACACTATAGGGAAGAGCAAGGAGGTCCTTGACCTCACTTCCCGTGAGCAAACCTGCGGTTTCAAAAATGTTCCGAAGATCTGAAACCAGTACCCCCGTCTTCTCATCTGTTATATGGATATCTCGAGAAGAAACAAAGCCTTCAAATCCCATAACTTCGGGTTCTCCCGCTTCCGAATCATAGTACACGAAAGCATAGCGCATGAACCGAGACCTCAACGAAGTGCTACCAGACATCTGTCGTTCTTTATCGAGCAGATCCATCATAAAAGCCCAGCTAGTTTGTGGAAGCGTTTTATCGATAACGGCAGCAGGCATCAGCACTGGGATCCCGGAATGATCCACGCTAGCCAGGATCGACCCCATGATGCCTTCCTTCAGCGTAGGAACAGAAGAGTCTTCGTCTTTAAAAGCATTCACAAGGCGATGAATGGCGTGCAGTATGGCTGAACCTGGAGGGAAGCAGGGTTGTCCCACACATGCGATTTCATTCTCTTCCAGATTAGACTCGGATCTTGATCGAACAAAGACTCGGAAACGAGTTGTACGGGATGCTCGGAGATTTAGAAAAAATGGATCTCCTTCCACGAAAGCATTGGCTATACTCATTCCATGTCAACTCAATGATAGATAAGATCCGCAGCCGTGGACTTACATCTGGCAGTTGGCTCATACCAAATTATTGAAAACGGGGAACAAGTGCTTTCGTACTATTCCGAGATTAGAGAGGCATCGAAGTGCTTGCATCCAATGGCATTCACACAAGAGAGCTGCGGGAAACATTGCTGCAGGGTGGCAAGATCGGAGACTTTCACGAGTCCTCCCTCGGGATTTGACCAGGCCACAAGGCTGAGATAAAGAGTGTTCTGTGCCAAGATAGGGATACCATGAACCACTTGAGTTAGTTCCGTGATTGTCACCGAGATACCGCCCAGATCGAGAACTCCGTCTTTGGACACTAACAACAGTCGCCGCGTGAGTCGCCCGGAAAACCGGTCGCACACATCCGCGACCGTGGCAGAATCTTTAATTATATGCTCCGGGACCGATTCCAATTCCGAGTGTGGGAGTGTCATGAGGGCGCAGAGAGAAAGAGGAGGCACCGTTGGCTCTCTTTTGTGTGTATTTGATTCGCCGTCACGTCCTGCAGGGATGTACTGCATAAAATCATGCGGCCAGCAAATCTTGAGAGTTTCGTACGAAACAGTTTGGTATTGTTGGATGGACTCGATAGCAGCAGCCGCTTCTTTCCGACCATGGTCGGTTTGCTCAGACGGATGATAACTCGTTCCGTAGACTTCTCCAGTCAGGGGCATAAATCGTTCACATTTATCATTCGTCACTGAAAGGCCATGGAAACTGACAAAACAGTAGCGTGGATTGGACGGGTCCGTGATGTCAAACACGGTTGTGCCGTAATCGTTGCCTGTATGGAAGACGAATCAGATTCAGTACTTGAAAGCTTGACAGTAGCGTAGCTCTCCCACTTATATATTCGACATGCCCCAAATCTGGAAGAACAACACTAGGCGCCGAACGGGAACTCGATGTGAAGCCCCATAGCAGTGATGCTATAAAGGGGAAATGAACTTGAACCGGGTTCGTACCTAAGTAGGGGCCCACATGACGCAACTCGGAGAGTATGGAATGGACGTTGAAGGGATGTTGACAAGCTCTCATGAATCGTATAGCACCTTCGAGTGCAAATTTTCCTGTAGGAAGCCAATGAACGCCGACTAGGAAGTTTAGGGATCCGGATTCGAGTCATTACCGTAGTACTCATGATAGAGCAAGCGGATAATTCGCCAGTAATGCCCATGGACACATGCTACAACGCAGAGCTGATGTGATTGGGACAACATGAAAGATTCAACTTGACAGACAGAAGTATGGAATGAGTTACTATGGAATAAGCCACCGATGAATATTCCTGACACATGAAATGAGCTTCGTTGCACTTGGGCATCGGCTGTTTCCACTTCGCACAATGTACACTTCGCATACTTAACATATTTAGACAAGGGTCACATGAGGAAAAATACATTTCATGCTTCGGCGATTCCCACTTCGCATACTTCGTTCGCACACTTCACACACTTCACACACTTCGCACACTTCGCACACTTCGTTCGCACATTTCGTTCACACACTTCGCACACTTTGCATACTTGCCACTTAGCACATACCTACCTAGGTTACATATTCGACTCACTTACCATTAATAAATTGTTGTTTTTATTTGTGGGCCAATTTACCGAGGTGGGGGCTGAACGATGTATTGATCGTTAGCGATTATGTAAAATTTATATATATATAGGAGGTGTGTTTGATAAGGTCAGATGCTGGGTGCTATGGTCAAGTGGCCATTGTATCTGATATATCATATAACAAGAGGCTGCAGGTTCAAACCCAGCCTAGGCAAACTTTTATACTGTTTTCAGGTGGTCGTCTGGCTGATGTCGTAAAAGACCGCGGGGCATGTTCTACCTGTACAGTGTTTAACTGAGCCTATGCTGCTTGCTAACTAGGTTTCGCTGTCCAGGCAGGTGTTCACCAAGTGCTGGTGTACTATCCTGGAACTTTATTTTGCCCACTTGATTGCTAAATAGTAATTCAATACATTTCAGGTGATTCATTCATGATGCCCAGAAACTTCGCCGACTTGATTTTTCTTCCACAGCCTGTCATTTTATTCTGGCACGAGCTAACAGCTCATTATTGAATTGGATGTACTTATGAATAGAAGATTTTCATGCAGGCTGCTGTGGGAGGGGGGAAAGCTCAAACGAAGATGATTTTCTGTTTTTTTTTTTTTCTTGCACATTTTCGGCAAATTCCAGCTGTCATCCCCCACTCCCTTGTTTTTTCGAATCTCTACACCGAATCTCCACACCTCAACAACAGTGTTTAAAATGTCAAACATGAATTCGAACATGAATTCCAATGTGAATGTGTCGCCAAACTCAGCCAGGATTATACAACAAGCTGCTGAAATTCTTCGTCGCTTTGGGGTTGATGCCCCCCACTTGCTGCCCCTGATTTCAGTGCAGGTTTATCATCGGGAGCAGCCCAAGGACCTGTTTTGGGACCAGATACCCCAGCAGGCTCTTTAAACATGACCACAATGAGGCCAATGTCATCAGTTCTGTCTCAACACTCGTCTTCGTCTTCATCTTCGCCTTTGCCAGCACCGCATCCTCAGGCACCTCCAATTCATTTTCCTTCCCTTGCTGCCCCTCCTCCTCTTCCTGTTTTCTCGGGAGCCCATGCCCAACTTTCTAGCTCAGCAGTGGGTGTGACTGGTTTCGGTTCACACACCAACCTTGTCGGTGCCACATCTCCCTTGGTACCCTCACCAGCACCAGTTCCTGCTGCTTTCCGAGGTATTCCTCCTGGAGGATTTTCCACTGCAACTGTGAATTCTCGCCGAAACAGTTCTGCTCTCGTCACCCGAAATGCTTCTAATTCACGACGAGTTCGCACCCAGCCATATGAATCTCTAAATGTTGCACCCCCAACATCTCGTTTGGGAATTTCTGGGAGTTTGATTGATTCTCTTGAAATTTTACTACTTCCGAGTGAGGTATGTGAACTCCACACAATATATGTGTGTTGGTGAAACTGATTGAATTGGACCTACTAGGCCGAAGTTCGTATTAACATGGGAGAGGCTGCTCAGGCCCAGGGAGCAGTATCAGTGAGATCAGAGTTTTGGCGAACTCGTGTTTGGCATCAAGCACTTGCTGCCAATTTTGACAATCGCCTTCGAAGCTTTCAGCGAGTTGTTCATTTTACAAATGTGTCACTGAGGATGCTAGTCCATGACTTGCTATCCCAAGTGCAGGACGAGCTTTCCCGAAGGGGATTTTACTTCCATCGCCCCTATGATCCCAATGCACCCTCATTTTCGCTCCTTCAGCTTCATTCATCAGGGAGGGTTATGACCACATTCAATCTTCCCTCTCGTCGTTTAACTGAGTATTATCCCACTTCAGATGACACTCTGGAGCATATCCTTTATGAGGTAGATGGATTCACTGCAGTGTCTCTCTTTTCGAAGAAGCTGGATGGAACCCATTTGCTGCGACTCGGTGGGTGACAGTTTTATTTTTAGGGAAATTATTGAAAACTTATTACATTATAAGTAGCCCCATCCCTTGATCATCTTGGAGGCCCTCTTCCGAATGAGATACAAACTGTCCTAGATGATGGGTTATCCCCACCAATTCCAATTCATTTTTGCAGTGGGGTTCGCCTCTATCGAGGTCTTGCAACTGATCGGGCCAATCTGTTACTCATGCTCGGGGGTAACGAAACTGCCATGTCTGATGTGACACTCTGCAACACATGTCGTGTTCAGGCCATTTCCCAGGCCCACCTTATCCCTACTGATGAACAGAATGATGAGGCAAGTTCGACACAGACAGCAGTTTGACAGCTATCACTGATCAGTAGTTATTAGGATGAAACTGGATCGCTTAGCACAGTTGATAACGAGAATAATGAAGGTCTCGAAAGTGAGGTGATTGCTTTTGAGGTATAGTTGTTGGTTCAATGTTAGAATGAAACTTATTTGTGTTTAAACTAGGGTGAATCCGATCTTTCTGCTGGTAAGGATTTTGCTTTTACTAACTATCATCATCTATTCATTTTTCGAGTCCAGGTACCTTACTCTACCCCAGTGTCTCAGCAATAACAGAATTTGCTGACTGCATGAGGGGTCTTATACCTGATAACACATTGGATTCGGACTCACTCTCAATCTCTGCTACAACACAGGTAGCACTTGTGTCGAAGCTTCAGGATGAGATCATTGCTTGCTACAATGATGACACCTCTCATATTGCACTCGACAAATTTGTCAAGAGTGAATTTTCATTTAGGATGTGGGTGAAAAGTTTTTATTTTGTTATGTTAGTCTTATATACTTTATAATAGTCGGGGTCCATCCAACACCCAAGGAAATGGGGTTGTTCGCGAGGTCATTTTTCAGCTTAGTGAACTACTCTTCCCAGAAGCTCCTGAGGGCGAGGGACTTCGCACCTCATATGATGGTCGTTTGATTTTTTTCCCCCGAATATATTTTGATGGTATTCCATCCCCTCGGGAACATAAGGAACTTGCATTTGCTCGAGGTGTCATTGTGGCTCTGTCAATTGTGCACCTTTCTTGCATCCCTCGCGAGCTCTGCCCTCTGTCTGTCCTATTCCATCTTGGATATGGGAAGTCCGAACTCCTCTCTGAGAGGATCCTGGCGAAACTTCACCCTAGACTTGCATCAGCACTTAATGAGTTCAAGGCCAGTGGTTCATTTTCTTCTATTGAACAAATTGCAGTTCCCTATTTGGATATTGATGTAAGTGATCACCTTTCATGTTAGATAACACTGATTTTTCCCCCATAAAATGAAGGCTGCAACTGCTGCTCCTATGATTGCAACTGAAGAGGCCCGAGATGTTTTCTCACACAAATTGCTCCTTGCCTGTGTCCGAGGCCAAATCACCATGGAGGCTAATGATGAAGAGGCAGCTTTTCGTGCTGGCCTAAATCTTCGTTGCTCAAATGGATTCCACTTTAGCAAGGTATGTTGTATGGGTCACAATATTTGTACATACAAATGCTAACTCATATATATCAAAGCTTTGTGAGGCCTATGCTGATGGATTGGAGGGCCTTTTCAAAAGCCTGAATGCATCAAGTATTGAGTCATTTGAGGATTTGGTCCCAATCCTCAGTTTTGTGGAGCCTCAAAGAGCTCTTGTGCTTCTTCGCCAGCATTCTGAGTTCCAGGCCTCAAGCTTTGGCTCACTGATTGAAGGCTTTCTACGAAGAACTGGTTGGCCACTTGGAACTGACCCCCTTGGACTTGCAAGTCTTTCGTCTGGCCTTGGATATGATAATCTGTCAATGCACCTTGATAACCCTGGATTCAGGTCACAACTTCTCTATCGCTGTGCCACTGCTTCTGATTCACTTCTTAGTGGCCAGCAAATACGAGTAGGCTCATCTTTTCCATTCCATTATGGACCTAATATCCCACTTGATTTCATAGGTCACATTTTCTGACATTCCAGCTGGTTTTTCGATCGAGGATGTAACCCACAGTATTGTGGACTCTGCCATTCGTTTCCAGACATGCTTTGGATGCCTCCACATCCATTCCTCAGTAATACTGGATATTGTTCACAACAATGCACCAGGTGACCGATTAGCTAAGTTTGACAATTGGCTGGTAGCGACTATGATGATCTCCCTTTCAAGTGGAATGGGTGGTACTGTATAACTGAATTTGTTAGTTTCTTAAGTTCCCCTCTCCCCTTTTAGCTTATATATTCCCCAACTGTTACCCTTCATTTTTCATTTATTTAAATATTCCTTGAAGGTGTCAGTTATACATCCTCACATCCTCACTCTCAATTAACACTCCTTCATGATCTCAAACATTTATATTTATTCCCCAACTATTACCCTCATTTTTCATTTATTTAAATATTCCTCGAAAAAGGTGTCAGTTATGCATCCTCACATCCTCACTCTCAATTAACACTCCTTCATGATCTCAAACATTTATATTTATTCCCCAACTATTGCCCCTCATTTCTTTTGCCTGGACATAATTTCCCCAGAATCTTTTCATTCTCTAGTAAATTACATTGGCATGGGAGTACTTCCTGCAATATCATGATTGGGTAAGAGCATGACCATCAGCCGATCCCAAGCCAATGCTGGCCTGAGTCCTACTGTCATATCCGTGCATATCCGATCCCGACCCGACTCCTGGACCTCCTTCTTCACCACCTCTGGAGTCCTACCCTACCGCTGTCCATTCCAATATTCACCTTTGGTCCTGACACCACTCCTCCTCTCACCCCCCATGCCACCTCCACTCCTCCATCCCTCTCCTGTCCTATCTCCGTCTGCTCCGATACTCACCTCGGACCGAACACCACTCCTCTCGCCACCCTCCTCCTGCTCCTCCTCCCACTCTTCCGCTCCCTCCTCACAACACCTCCACCCTTCCGTCATCCTCCTACTCTTCTCCCGTCCGCTCCGATACTCACCTTCGGACCTGACACCTTTCCTCTCCTCCACACCCTTCCTCTCCTCCACACCTTTCCTCCTTCCTCTTCCCTCTGGCCCTCTTCCGCTGACCCCCTGCCAAGTTACGACCTTCTGCCGCTGTCCCGTACTTCATACTCAGACACCACTCGTACCTTTGCTCCAAGCCTCCATCATAGCTCCTACCTTGGACTTTGACTCCACCTTGGTCTTAGTCCATTGCATTGGTGACCTCATACTGCGTAAACACCATTGCCAATATTCCTCGGACTTTCAACCCCACCTCCGTAACCTCTGTAAGCTCTGTGACCTCCGAGCTCCATGGATCATCTTTGGCTCTTTCGCTGCTTGTAATGTATCTCTCGCGTTTTCCCCTCATCCCTATTTGGACTGCTGCTTCTTCCCATTCTAGCCAGTTAGTCATCATCCCCACTTCCCCTCATCCTCCTGCCCCTCTGGGCTTCGCCCTCCTTACCTCCTTTCGGATGTACCACCGTTTCAGCCCTGTGACCTTCGGTACCGCTCCGCTTCTGTCTTCCCTTTGTTCCCGTTCGGATGCTGTAGGCAGGATAATCGCCCACGCGCAGAGCCAGCTCGGATACCCGCTTCCAACATTCAGAAATCTACTTCCATTCACGCGATGACTCAGTACAGATTTGGTATCCAAAAACAGTGCTAATTCGTACGATTCCGACGATATCAAGAACGTCCCAATCGGTGGAGATTTGATGGAGTTCTATGTTGGGTAAGTTAGGCACAGGCATGTGTGGGCATGGGAATCTCAAGTGGCAACCCAGAATTTCAGCCTCACTCGTTCCCACAGCGTCTAATAAATTGGTAAAAATGCTTATCGGCTGCGTGAGAGTTATCTCCGGCTTCATTTCCAATCTCGGCTCTTAATTCCATAAATCCGTTGAGAAATCGCTTATTTTCTTTTATTTTTATATTTTGCATCATTTCAGTTATTGATCAATATTCTTTTATTGATACTGTTACCCTTTTTTATTATTTCGCCTAATAAGGTATGCAGGTGCCATATGGCACCAATATTTCCCATCTATTATTTCTAAAAATAATTATTTCTTATAATCTTGTACATACTGGATTTTTGGAAAGAAGTTCTCCCCTCCCCCAATTTCTCTAAGGTGCTAGGACACGCTAGAGTTGGAGTGAGTGTGTGGAATCCAACAGTAGGAATAAGGGCAACTGTCTAGCCCACAACGAGTGAGTAGTAGATTAGTTGAGCCTGGACCTTGCAGAATCCCGGAGAACCCACCACGGAGTTTTAGGATCGAGAGCATAGCGAGTTTAGTAAAGAAAGTAGGATTTTGGAGAGTTTGGCCCCACGAGCTTAGTCAGCATAGAGAGCCGCTAGCTGTCAGAGACCAGGTTGAGACGAGGGAATGTCTCCGTGGTGGAGGGCTTCGGCCTCAGCGACTTATGCCAGGAGCGCTGTGCCAAGTAACATGTCCATGCCCTAACTTACTAAACTGGCAACCAGAACTGAAGGGGGTAAACTCTAGTCGATTTTATTACTGAGGTGTAACCTATGTACAAGTTGAGTATATATATAGTTACAACGAGGGTGGGTCCGCAAATGGTGGAGCCAAGCGGAGCGGAGCTAACGGGGTTAGACATTAGCCGATTGAATATTACCGACGAGTCGGGTTATGGGGTTAACAGAAAAGTAGGCGATAACCCAGAAATGGAGAGGAGGGATAGGCCCGAAGGTGGGCTTGCAGGGCAAGCGAGTGTATTGCCCAGTGGAGGCAGGAGTGCGCTAGCGGATGTCAGAGCTGTCCGGAAGCCTTCGGGGCTCTATACTTAGGGAGGCGTAGGTAATAAATTGAAAGGAGGGGGTGGTGACCATCGAGGGGTACCGAGGTAATTGCGGAATACGGGAGCTCCGAGGTTAGTGAAGAAGGAGCGGAGATAGACCGGAGGGATCGGAGGGAGTGGAAGTCGATGGCCGGGGATGGATATGACACTAGCCCTCTTTCAATGCCTTCGTTCCGATTCAGATCCCCTTTGTTTCCTTGTGCTTTCGCCCCCTCCATTATATATATCGGCGCTTGTACCTACTCGTTTTAGTCCTTAGTCTAAAATCGACCTGAAATGCCCCCTAGAGACTTCCTGCTCACCTCCTATGAAATTAAGGACCAAATGGACAAACAGCAATGGCACAGCGCTCCGCTTGAGTCGCTGAGGCCAAGGTCACTCCTTGCTAAGCACTATCCATCCTTGTTGTTAGAACGGGGCGAGAGTGGATGATTCCGGAGTGGAAATGGAGACTTAGCAAGGAGGGACCTTGGCCTCAGTGACTCAAGGGGATGTCATGACTGACAAATCCTGGGGCTCCATCAGTGGCGAACCAATGCTGATAGGCGAATCCGCCGACCCGAAACCCATCCTAACCAGCCCCCAACCCAATGTCTGGCCCCCTGCCTTATTGCATGAGACTTGGCCAACAATCAGAACCTAGACCCTGCCGGAATTCCGACCTTACCTACAGTTCCCGAGCCCTTGGCGCCCCCAGCATTCAGTCCCTCCAGTTCCTATGCCTGCCTTGTCTCCATCTGAACCACACTCATTGCTTCCTGCTATGTGATCACAGCCATGCCCCGCTTCTGTGCATTCCACACCCTCTGGCCACTTCTGTGTCATACATACCTGACCCTGACTCGACTCCAGACCCCTTTCTGCCACCTTCAGATCTGACCCCACCTTCCTCTCCTCCTTCCTCTCTCCTGACTAATCTCTGCCAAGGCATGACCTCCCATTCCTGTCCTGTACCCCAAACTTGGACACTGATTGTACCTCCACTCTGTCAGGGCACGCCCGCCTGACCCGGCCCCACCTAACCCGGTGCCCCACCATCCACTCCTCCCGACCTCCCCCCTCTTCCCCTTTTCTCCCTTCCCTTTCTCCTTCTCCTTCTTTTCTATTCTCTCTCCTCTTTATTCCTTTCTTATCACACGGACGACTTCCTTTGTATCAATGTACCATTGACCCGGCTGCAGCGTAACGCGCCCGAACCCGGACACACCGGACGACCCCCCGCACACCGGACGCTCCTAGGACCTCTTACGGAGGTACCCAGACGGAGGTGGCTGTGTGCTCGGATGACGTGGCGCTTCCCACGTGGCCTTCAACCACATGTATATAAACATAGCCTAAGTGGGAACTGAGAAGCAACCTTCTTCTCACATTTCCCACTTTAGGCAAGTAGCTTACACCTCCCTTGATAATGACAATAACACATTTCCCACTTTAGTCTTAGTGGCCAGGGACCCTTGTCTGCTTCGGGCCTGTTGCTACGCGCGCCCGCGTCATACCTACTGGACCCTCAGCCTCGGGCGATACACCCGGGCGCTCTCGACCCCGGGTCGGTCCCTGACACACTCCAAGATCCTGTCCTGGTCCTGACCTCGGACTTTGACTCCACTCTGGCTAAAGTCCATTGCATTGGTGACCTCATTTCACATAAATGCCATTGCCAATATTCCTCAGACTTCCAATCCTGCCTCCGTAAGCTCTGCTACCTCTGAGCTTTGTGGACCTACCTTGGCACTTATAACTTATATGACTGGCACCAATATTGCTTAAAGCAATTGCCAGTGACAACTGGCAATGTAAGACAAAAGAAATTGAGAGTGCATGGTATTGCAACTCTGAAACAAAAAGGATATAATCGTTGTTAGCCATGATGATATTAAGTTAAAAATCTCACAACTGTCAGAGTCCGCGCATCAGTTCGCGCATAAGAATCTCCCCGGGAAACTAGTCGTTGTAAAAGCTGGGGGGCCAACCCAGCTGGTGATAAGGCCTTATATACATGAGTTCCACAACTCACAAGAGCGCGGCTACATTGGGAACACATGGTAGCCGATAGAGAAGCGACATGAAATAGGAGAATAGATCATGCGGATAAGGGGGCGATAACGGGTGAGGGATGATGCGATAGCGGAAATAGCGCATTGAATACAGCCTGCATTCTAACTACGGCAAATCACACGCAGATATCGGCTTACGGGTACTCAACCTATCTGGATAGGGGTCTGGGCCGGCCGGATAACCGTCCGTGCCCTGACAACAACTCCCCAATCCTCGCTACAGCTTGGCTGTTGTCGATGAGCATTGATATTCCAACAGTGCCTTATATATGCTGCCTAACATACAACCTAAAATCCTGGTATAGAATTGTTCCTCATTGCAGCCAAAGCTATCTGCCAAACACCCAGCATTTCTTCCCTAGTTGAAGCTGCTTCCAGATGTGGTGAGATGAATGATATAAGCTCTGCCTCTATCTGGTTGCCTAGGTTGTCATGGCCAACTGTCTGTAAGAAACCACCTCCGCCTAATGCAGGCATTTAGTGTAATGGTAACACACTCTTGGTACCTATGCAGGGTTCTGCGGTTCGACTCCCAGAATGTCCATATTTTAGCATTTAGGTTCCCAAGACCACGTGTACAAATTCCAACATGGTGGACATTCTACGGAAGTCACCGAGCACACCCAAATCCGGTTGCTGCCACGTGAGATGGGCACGTGAAGTCAAGCATTAAATTAACCGGCCTGACAAAGTTTCAGGGGGTGTAGCTCAGAGCACTAAGGACCCAAATCCGGCTGCTTCAGACCACATGACGTGGACATGTAGGAGATTAGCAGTAAGTCCGGCCTGAATATGAATTCAGGGGGTGACGGCTCACGGGCTGTTGGAAGCCCGGTGGTTAGGGTCACATGTGGATCACGGGCTCAATCCAATGTGAAGGGGGTGTGTAAGAAACCACCTCCGCCTAATGCGGGCATTTAGTGTAATGGTAACACACTCTTGGTACCTATGCAGGGTTCTGCGGTTCGACTCCCAGAATGTCCATATTTTAGCATTTAGGTTCCCAAGACCACGTGTACAAATTCCAACAATCACCTGGTAAGTCACTCCCAACATTAGGATCAATGTCAACACCCTCCCATGTAAAAATAGGCTTGGCTTCATAGCCATCTTTCAGTGCAGCTTCATATGCAGCTTGGATGTGGCTAGAGAAGGTGAAGGCAATGCCAGTATGTGTCACATGATCACACACTGTTGTGCCATGGCGATGGTGAGGGCGAAATGCAAAGATGGTGTCTGGAGCATTACGCAAGATGATCCCCAAACTCACATCAACAAAGTCTGCACCATTGTGAGTACACCCAGGTCTGACTGAGCGTGATGTACATAATCCAAATACCCAGTTAATATAGGCAGGATCACGATGGCAAGAACTGTGAACAGTAGTTAGTGGCTAAACCCATTGTACTAGAAAGCAAAATGACATACGCAGTATAATTCTGTGCATAATAAATTTCAGGTGGAGGATGGGGCTCCTCAGGAAAGCGATACAGTTTGTGACGAAAAGGGAAGTAGTATCCTTTGGCTTTGTTGCACAAGTGAGTATGGACAACAGCATAACATGATAGAGTATACTCACAACCACTTTCAATGGATGGTGAGAAAAGGGAAGGAACACCACTGTCCTTCAGTCCATCAGCAAACTCCTTTATAATCTCAACAGGCAACCTGGACATGACTAGAGCCCATGCAAGGGAAGCAAGGCCCAGTAGGTCCTGGTCACTCTCATGCAATTCAGATTCTGAATATTTTGACTGTTTTGTGAACTTGGTATGTCCAAACTTGCGACAGTGACGTGCCCCAGCACTGATACCGAAAGCATACAGAGAGCCAGGGTGGGTGGGCTTTTTTCACTTAGAATGCACCAATGGCATGAATTGATACTGAAACACCCACCCTAAGATCACGTCGCTCCCCAACATGCTTCTTGATCGTCTCACTCATCTCAGCCAAGAGTTCTGGTGAACTGGTGGCATTTCGTACTGCAATGAGCTCTAGCTGGCCCTCTGAACACAATAAGGAATTAGGGTGTAATAACGATAATAATTAACAGACTTACTTTGGTTAAGGACAATATGAGAACTGTTGGCATCAAGGACCATCCATTTATCACCTCCCACCTTGAATTGTTTGCACTGCCGATCAACTTTATGGGGCTTACCACCACCTGAGACGTCAATAAGCCATGTACGTTGGGTACATGTCTTAAAACGAGTGTCGCTATTTTCATCAAACTCAATCCTATGGACAGAAAACTTCCCTCCATTGACAAGATCTTCTAGTTTGGAGTGCTGACCAAACTGGAGTACCCTTGCCTGTAATGAATGTGTCAACACTTAACAGAGCCTGTAGAAAAAAACAGGCATACAAATTGCCGTTTTTGGTTGTGTGAGGCTCGTTGTGGCCCGAAACTATCAAATTTTTTGATAGCTTTGCAAAGGGTAGTGTAAAGTGGGTGTACACTGAGTGACTGTGCACGAGAGGCCTCCACAGCACCCTCAGCTAAGCTATTGGCTCTGGCAAGTAGTACACCCTCAACCTGGCTCTATCGAGATCTGGATGAGGATAGCAAAGCTTGAAACATACTACTACATAATTACCTTTCCTATGCCTGCCTTTTGTGCCAGAAGGCTCAGAAGCACACCCCATGCAGCATCGACATCCAGGAGTGTTGATGCATTGACCACTTTTATGATCTGTGGCTCGCACTCAGAAAGAATGGCAGAGACTATAGGAAAAACACACATCAGTCACATATAGAGGGAAAGTATAGAATTTACCTTTTTGAGCAGCCCCCCTCGGTTTCTTGACCTTACCCATTGTTGCTTGTGATGATGTGTGCAGGTGTTGTGAGGAGAGCGAAAAAATGTTGAGGCTGTACAGTTATATCATGTGATGTTTCCCACACCTCCCTGCCAGGCAACTTGTATCTTTCGCATTATTGAAACATCTTGGGCAGGATCATAGGCAGGATCCATTGTGGGGCTCATAGCAGCATAGGCCCAGTTAAACACTGATACAGGCAGAACATGCCCCGCGGTCTTTTACGACATCAGCCAGACGACCACCTGAAAACAGTACAAAACTTTGCCTAGGCTGGGTTTGAACCTGCAGCCTCTTGTTATATGATATATCAGATACAATGGCCACTTGACCATAGCACCCAGCATCTGACCTTATCAAACACACCTCCTATATATACAAAGATCTTACATAATCGCTAACAATCAATACATCGTTCAGCCCCCACCTCGGTAAATTGGCCCACAAATAAAAACAACAATTTATTAATGGTAAGTGAGTTGAATATGTAACCTAGGTAGGTATGTGGTAAGTGGCAAGTATGCAAAGTGTGCGAAGTGTGTGAAGTGTGTGAAGTGTGCGAACGAAGTATGCGAAGTGGGAATCGCCGAAGCATGAAATGTATTTTTCCTCATGTGACCCTTGTCTAAATATGTTAAGTATGCAAAGTGTACATTGTGCGAAGTGGAAACAGCCGATGCCTAAGTGCGAAAAAGCTCATTTCATGTGTCAGGAATATTCATCGGTGGCTTATTCCATAAGTTACCGATAAAAAATACTGATGGATCTTTTTGGGTCAATTCATACTTCACACATTTCCACTTTGTGCATTTGCATGCTTCGCTATTGTATACTTTGCATACTTTGCATACTTTACATACTTTACATACTTTACATACTTTGTGTACTTTATGGTTGCAAATTGTCCTAGAATGCCATACTTGTCCATCCCATGATCTGTGCACATGCTGACCACTGTCTAGAGGGATGTCAAGACTGTTTCCCACGGTCTGAACACACTTTACGTAGTTGAATAGCCCCTTTAAATAGCTTCCAGAATATATATTTTGAGACTGAATTGACCAATAAATTATCGAGAAAAATGCAAAATACTTTTTTGGACACGAGTCTTTGGGTTAGTGTGGCTGTCCACCTCAATGTCTGTGCACAATGCTGGCCACTGTCTGAAGGGGTGTCAGCACTGTTTCTCACGGTCTCAACACACTTTGCATAGTTGGATAGCCCCTTCAAATAGCTTCCAGAATATATAATTTGAGACTAAATTGGCAAGCAAGTTATTGAGAAAAATGCAAAATACTTTTTTGGATGCAAGTCTTTGGTGTCATATCTGTACATACCCAATCCCGATTTGACTCCCAGACCCTTTCCACCACCTCCGGAGTCTTACCCCTATTCCTGTCTGTTCCGATCCCCACCTTTGAATACAACCTCACCTTCCATTCCCCCTGACTCTCCCCTGCTGTAAGGGATGGATAGGGAATGGACAATGTGCACTTTTGTAAGGTGTTAGAACAGGTGGATTCAGACAACTCCGGAGTGGAATTGGAGACTTAGCATGGAAGGACCTTGGCCTCAGCAACTCAAGCGGAGCACTGTGCCATTGCTGTTTGTCCATTTGGTCCTTAATTTCACAGTAGGCAAGCAGGAAGTCTCTAGGGGGCATTTCAGGTCAATTTTGGACTGAGCCCAAAACGAGTATGTACAAGCGCCGATATATATAATGGAGGGGGCAAAAGCACAAGGAAACAAAGGGGATCCGAATCAGAATGAAGGTGTCCGAACGGGAACAAAGGGATGACAGAAGCGGAGCGGTACCGAAGGTCATAAGGCAGAACCTGTGATACGTCCGAAAGGAGGTAAGAAGGGCAAGGCCCAGAGGGGCAGGAGGATGAGGAGAAGTGGGGATGATGACTAACTGGCTAGAATGGGGAGAAGCAGCAGTCCAAATAGGGATGAGGGGAAAACATGAGAGATACATTACAAGCGGCAAAAGTGCTGAAGATGATCCATGGAGCTCTGAGCTTATGGAGGTTATGGAGGTGGGGGAGGTGGGGTTGAAAGTCCGAGGAATATTGGCAATGGTGTTTACGTTGTAGGAGAAATAACGGCCACACTATGGAAACCCATTATGGAAATATGCCAGATAAATCACAAAACCTCATACGACAAGTAGATATGAGAACATAGAAGGACCTGAATTTTAACGAATTTTACGAATTTTTACGAATTATTATGACTATACACGATAAATCGAAAGAAAGAAAAATAACAAAAATACTTCAAGCTTACCATCAACGAGACGGAATTCTCGGGGGAATTTATAGCAAATATTAAACCAAGAATTAGGACAATCGACCAAGATTTGACTATAAAAATAATCAGAGAACCTCCATGGAAACTACTTTCCCACGTCCGCACACGTAGCAAGGATGGAAGTACCACGGAACAAAGATTCCTCAGGAACTAATGCAAAAGTCAAAGTCGTGTTTATAATAGGAAATGTAGATGTCCCCCAAACGGAACCAATGAGAGTAATTACAGGGGAAACTACCCATAAACGACGGAGATATGACTAAAACTCCTGCAAAACGAGGACAATGTCTAAAAAGCAAGCGCGAAGATTAACTAGTAATGACCGAGACAAGCTTGATAGCCCATTAGAAAGGAAAGGATCTACTCTTAATCCTCCCAAATTTTCATAATAAAAGGATCATGCGTTAATGAGAAATCCAATAACGGGAATAGCAACATCAAAAGTCTGAGCTCAGGGACAAGACGATGATTGCGTAGGATCCATAATTAAAACATACAACGAAATTTACACGGAAATTATGAAAAATAGGAAACTATAGTTATGCAAATTCTCAGCCCAAACGGTCCAGCTGTTGTGAAGTTATACCCATGACGGGAATATAGGAATCCGCATCATGTGTAATGACACGTGAGGGTGGCGATGCGCAGGGAACCGGCCGTCGGAACTGAGATCCGCACTTCGGCAGATCGCGAAGACCAATTTCCGTCCAAATAAGGAAGAGCCCGGTCAAAACAAAGCACGGAAAGTGCAAAACAACCTTAGATCATGAGGGAAAAATCTGAAATAAATCACAGAAGCCCATATGAAAGAAATAAACACCCGCGCATATCATAAATCCCGAACAAATAAACGAAAACGGCTCCCGCATACGAACAATGCACGTGATTACCGAATGTGTGCGCGAATCTTTGCTAACTCAACGAATACCAGGAAATAGGACACAATATTAGTACCATTGGAAAGGTGGGAATAAATGAAAATTTATGATACTAAGAACATGAGAAAACATCCAGAAATGAATGAGATACAAGGACATGAAGTTAGAAACCTGAAAATGCGTGGGAAAACAGCTTCAAGAGGTCCAGAGTCCTAAATAAAATAGATAAAAATATGATATCTTCAAGGACAACCTACTATAACAACCAACGATACATATGGAGGATTAGGATGTGATAATACAAAAGGAAATCAGAGAATATGAACAAAATTCACGAAAACCACTAAACTACGACGGACCATGGCGGGAATTTTAGGGAACGATATTCTAATGAGGTGGAGAGCTATAACACATTCGTTTGAGTAATTCTTGACTACTAGCAACTTTTTCTTTCAGTTTCAAACCTGAATAATTCACTCATTTACCATTTCAGTCTCATTTTAACTAAATGTCACTAAATAAAAATGGAATAAATCAGCTGAAGGTCTCAGCACAGCCGTACACATAGTAATGCGAAGTTTGAATTCAGAGTCATCGAGTCATAGCAAATTTAATGGTATATATATAGAATTTGAAATAGGTAACTGCGGCAAATGCAGCGCCCCTCAGAGAAGTAAGAAAATAGAGTATTATTTTTCTCAAGCATTTCTGGTTGTCACTCCAGTGCGAAAAAGTGATATACAGTTAAGATTGCCACTGTAGTAAAAGGCAGCAATTAAGGAGAGAAATATTAAGTAGATATTTCAACAGGAGAGCTGGTTAACACTCCAGATTTCAAAGTGTAAACACAAAACAGTTATTTTGCTACTGTTAAAACAAGCGATAAAATAAAGACAAAAATAAAACGAACTCAAGGGACACTCCAGACACCATCCAAATTCATTAACTGAATAGAATCTTTGAAACTTCACCAAGTAGAAGATTAAATTCAAGTTTAAATCCAAATTAAACAACGCTACACAGAATTACACCTAGACAAATTAATAAATTTCAATAAAGAAACAGCTCCGCAGGGCTCGGTTTATCTGTAAGTCAATTCCCAGGAACTTTAAAACTAACCCATAAAAATAGAATTAGCCAAAACACTCGGATTGGTACTTTATTTACAATAAATAACACTAGTACACTTCCCCATCCTAACTAAAGAACCAGGGAACAGCTTGGTGGTGGTCTCGTTTGAACCTCCCAACTGACCTTCCTTCGTTCTCTCCTTCAACGTAGTATGAGGTCACCAATGCAATGGACTAAGACCGAGGTGGAGTCAAAGTCCGAGGTAGGGACTATGATGGAGGCTCGGAGCAAAGGTATGAGCGGTGCCCGAGTACGAAGTACGGGACAGCGGTGGAAGGTCGTAACTTGGCAGGAGGTCGGCAGAAGAGTACCAGAGGGAAGAGAGAGGAGAAAGGGAAGAGGGAAGGAGTGGTGGAAAGGAGAGTTGTCAGGTCCGAAGGTGAGTATCGGAGCGGATGGGAGAAGCGTAGGAGGATGACAGAAGGGTGGAGGTGTTGTGAGGGAGGAGCGGAGGAGTAGGGTGGCGAGAGGGGCGGTGTTTGGTCCAAGGTGAGTATCAGAGCGGACAGAGATGGGGGAGGAGGTGTGGAGGTGGCATGGGAGGTAAGAGGAGGTGTGGTGCCAGGACCGAAGGTGAATATCGGAACGGACAGCAGTAGGGTAGGACTCCAGAGGTGGTGAAGGAGGAGGTCCGGGAGTCGGGTCGGGATCGGGTATGCACGGATATGACATAAGGGATTAACCTTACTTCACTATAATTATTCCGATTATAGTGATATTTATATTATGTTGCATCGCTATAATTCTCATTATAGTGATGCTGTTATTTCTTTATTTATTTGTGCCGAGATATGTAATTTACATATATATACCTCGGAGTAGTTGTAAAGTGT